ATTATTCGATCTAAAAATACTAACCTAGAACAAAGAAAACTTCATCAGAAAAGAAAATCTCAAGGACGCCACTTATGTCATCTTTCAGATTATTTCTAAGGTTAAAACATACTTTTGATAATTATTGGTTTACTTTTCAAGGCTTGCTTAATTGGGGAAGTAGATCGTTACTTATTTGCCTGACAATACCACTCTTTCCTCATTGTAAAGATACTTCTCTGAAGGCAACTATCAATTGTGGTAACCGTGGCTGCAGGACTGGGTTTGCACACTGCTGAGCGATCTGTGGTGCCCTCGCCCCTGTGGTACTTTACTGGCCACTGCAGAACCAAAAATGATTACAACTCATTGGGAGTTGAGCCCTGGGATTTTTCTAGGTTAGTTGATTGTGAGTGCTGAGAGTATAAACCATGGTTGTGCCTTGTGGCCATGAATCTACTGTCAGAGGAATGGCCTGGCTTGAAAAATAAGCAAACCCATAGAGAAGAATGGAGAAGGTGGGGGAGAAGACAGACCCAGGGAAAAGGAGAGGGAGGGAGAAGCGGAGGGAAAAGAAGGAGAAAGACAGACAGAGACAGAGACAGAGAGAGAGACAGAGACAGACACAGAGACAGACATGGAGAGGACGGGGAGACGGGCAAGAGAATGAAGAAATAGAAAAGCGGTGAGGTATAGAGTAGATATTTAAAAAGACACACAGACTCAATCTTCTGCTTGTGGATATTCATATATCACACCATGTATTAAATAAAATCAAAACGAATCAAAGATCTAAATGCTAAAATGCAAACCTTTAATTTGCTAGAAGATAAAATAGGTACAACTCTTGAAGACACAGGTATAAGCAAGGATGTTTTTGAACAGAGCTCCCATGGCACAAGAAATAATACCAAAAATCAACAAAAGGGACCATATTAGGTTAAAGTGCTTCTGCATAGCAAAGAAATTACCAACAGAGTGAAGCAACAACCTGTAGAATGGAAAAACATTTTGCCAGATAGTCCTTGGACACAGGAATAGCATCTAGAATACAAAAAGATCTCAAAAAATTATATTCCTCAAAATAAAAACCCAATAAAAAATGCACAACCAAAATGAATGGACATTTCTCAGAAGAGGAAGTACAAATGGCCAATAAATACATGAAAAAGTATTCAACACTGCTGGACATTAGAGAAATGCAAATTAAAACTATATGGAGATACCAGCTTAGGCCAGAAAGAATGATTGTTGCCAAAAATTTAATTCTAATGAAGGCTAGTGAGAACGTTGGGACAAAAGAATTGTTCTATATTGTTAGTGGAAATGTAAATTAGTATGAACACTATGGAAATCAGTGTGGAGATTCCTCAAAAAAATTAAAACATAGAAATTCCATTGGAGCCAACCCTTTTCCTTCTAGGTATCTTCTCAAAAGTGTTAAAATTGGACTGGGGATTTAGCTCAGCAGCATAAGCACCTGCCTTGCAAGCAGGCAGTCGTGAGTTTGATCCCCGGTACCGATAAAAAAGAGAAAGAGAAGATGTGTTATATATATGTACCAACTCCACACAAGGAATGTAACCATTAGGAACTACAAACATGGACTAATAAAAATAAATAAACTATATCAGGATTACCAAAAATAAATTAATCAATGAAAAAAGTGTTAAAATCAGCATATTACAGGAATACATATATGCCCTTGTTTATAGCAGCATGAATTATAATAGCTAGGTCTTGAAAACAGTATATATATCTATAAACAGATGAACAGATAAGGAAAATGTGGTATTTATACACAAAGAGGTACCATCCTGTCATAAAAAAAGATAAACTTGAGGTATTTGTAGGTAAATGGAGGCAATTTGAGAGCATAATATCAAATGAAACTTATTTTATTTGGTCACACAAGGTTAAATATCATATGTCTCCTCTTGTAAGAGAACATAAAGAACAAAATAGAAGATAAACATGAAGTCGGAAAAAGTTCATGTAATTCCCCACAATGCCTATTTTTTAGTTTCAAAAATATTTTAATATATATGCTAATTCACTTCACTGCTAGTATGATCAAATCAGCAAATTTTATGGCAGCACTGAGAGAGAGAAGACAACATGGTTAAGTGACAAGGATACATCAGAAATGAAAACACTGATCTCTTTGGGAAATAAAGGCCAACATGCAAACAACAAACATTTATAATGCAAAATACAACACTTCATACATCCTGTTTAGGCAGTAAAGGATTAGCTGTTCTACAAAATATGCTGGCAATGCATATTACAGGCACACAAAGGACAGAAATACACAAGGTGGGGACGGCACCCTATTTGAAGTATTTGTAATTCTAGTTGAGGAACCACTCACATGATGACTGAATGGGAGGCTTTGCATGTTGAACTGGTCTTATCCTCATTTCCCATGGATATAACACCCTTCCAGTACCTTTCCACTACTACAGAAAACACGGTGCCAAGACCAGGTCCACTGGATTGTGTGTGGGCGGCCACCTGGGCCTCAGAAGAGCTCTGGGACTGACTTCATGCTTTGCTGTTCTGAAATTACTACTTTTTGAAAAAAGAACCATGTATGTTTTTGTTTTACAGTGCTCTCCCGAACTTACATAGCTCACTCTGCACCAAGGAGGGGTACAAAATTGTCCCACAAACACTTCACACCAATAACCTTGCTTTTCAAAGCAGTCTGACTATCATTTGTCAAGAGGTATAATACACATTGAAAGGCTCAGGGCAGAGGAGCACTCTCACGTGACATATGCTCCTCTTTAGAATTTTATTAAAAGCAAATGATTTAGTAAAATTATAAGTTTGCAGTAAAAAGTACTCGCGTATTCTGCCAATTCACACCACAAACTGCCAAAATGAAAAGTCACCAAGTGTGAGCCCAAAAGCCATAGCATATATCTAGGACATGGCAAGCACAGGATAAAGCATAAAAAAAGGATTTGGTTGATGTTAGGAAATGGTTACAAGGTTAGGAAAAGCTCGTTCGGGGGATGTCAGATGCATACAACACCATAAAAGAGGATTGCTGTTGACAGTGTTTCCTAGAAACACTACTCTCTCCCATGAAGCACACTTGGACAGAGGCTATGCATGTGCAGAGGAAGCCGTGCATTTATTTGAATCAGTCAGTCTCACTGTTTGCTCCCAGAGGCACCTCAGAGTTTTTAGGGTAACAGAGGAGAGCAACCATGAGAGTGTTCCCAGTGTCCTGGCACATCTGCCTTGTCCTTTGCTGTGACACCTCACTTACCTGATGTACATCAATATAGTTACACTTTGTCCTGTCTTGTAGCTGCCTAAACCTGTTTCCTTTGTCTTTTAGGTCTCTAATCCCATATGATGCAAACAACTGTGCAACATGAAATACTACTGTTTCTATTCTGAACTTTAGTGCAAACGGTTCCTTCTCCAGGGGAACGAGTTTAGGTCAGTGATGAAAGAAGGGAAATTGTGCCTGATGTGCTAAGGTCAAAAAGTTCCTTTAAAAATTAAAACAAAACAAAACAAAACAAAACAAAGATTCTTTTTACAGTTTCCTAAACTGAATGAGTCTTTTCTGGTAAAAATCATTTAACATATGGCTGAGTCTAAGGGAAAGGAATAATGATTGCTTATTTTTAAGCAATTATCTCTGCTACCTGTAGGGATGATGACTGACTAAAATCTCAAATTTTATGCTAACGCCTAGTGGTGTGTTTTGAGGCAGAAGATGCTCACTTTGTTTAGGGTGAGATTTAGAGTGAGTTCTTTCTCTCCAAACTGTTCTTTTGTCCTACCTGCTATGTACCGAGGTATAGTTTCTTCTATGACAAATCTACAGAATCTAAGAAGTTATTATCATTTACTGCATAAGATTTTGGCCAACCACGAACTGCATATATGACCGTGGACCCATAAGATTATGCCGTCACTGATATGGTAACCATTCTGGATGAAAACACGTTCTGTCATGTTTGCACAACCGTGACATCACCCAGCAACATACTTCTCCGAATACACCGCCATCATTAAAACAGGTGTGACGATAGTGACACGAGTGAGCAAGTCTGGCCATTGTCCATTCACTCAATAAATGTTAGCAATTACTCTCATCTAATTTAAGAAAATATCAAAATCTAGGTGAATATAGTTTTGTGGGTAAGCAGATCAAAATGAAGACAACAAGCAGAAAACTAGAATTTTGTGCTAGTGATCAACCAAGTCTTCCACGGTTCAAATTTTCTAAAGCTCTAAAGGAAAGTCATTCCTGGAAAAGGGATGTTAGGAAGTACACTAATGGGTTCAGTATCAAGGTCTGCTTCAGAGGCTGAGTTGTATTTCCCTTTCATTTTCCTACTAGATTCTGGGATTTGAGGAGACTGATCTGGGGGGACACCTTCTTCATGGCTTAATATATTTCTGTGGAATTTTATAATCAGAGACATTATCACACATATTTAAGAAAAGAAATTTCCCCTTCATTATGTAAAGATTTATTTTAAGAAATGTTATGCAACTCCACAAGACTATTAAGATGGTTTAAAAGTATTCTCTGTTTCTTGGTGATATCTGGATGAAATTTTGATATGAATGGTAACAGTACTGCACGAATTGAGTGAAAATAAACACAAAATTATTCCTCTTGCCTTTGCAGTCTTTGTTGTCCATCTTTAGCGGTAGATGGGTTTAGCATCCCAACAGGGTGGATCCATATTCCTCATGCAATCAGTTTGCTTTTGTGTGATTTCTTCATGACAGAAGATGTTTCACCAGACAGTGGTCTTGGCAAACCACGCCACCCCAGATACTCTTTGTAGCATCACAGCCACGAAGTGACTCTACTTACTCAAACTCCAAATACTGCCAAATGTTAGCACCTTCTTTGACTTGCTACCCTAGGGTAAGGGCCATCTCATTTTTCGTTCAGGCTGTTAAAAATTGGCAACTCCAGTAGTGTCACACCTAATAAAATACCCGCTTTTAAATGCCATTGTGCAAATGAAAATACTTACCTCTCTTGTAGGATAAGTTTGTTCTCTTTCTTCCAAAAGTCTTTAAAGTCAGAGCTGAACTCATGCCAGATACTGAAGAAAACATTTGGGGACACCTCCTTCTCTCCAAGTTTTGGTTTCATGAAGAAATAGGCTGTAGTCTCCAAAAAGCTGTCAAATCATGCACACAAAAGAACATAAAAGCCATGATTACTTTCCAATATGGGATGTTCTTTCTCTGTCCAAATTCTGATTTCATTCATAAACAATTACTGTTATCAAGAGGAATCTAAGTCTTCAGGTACAAACAGTAGTTTTTTATGATTTCATGTCAGAGTTTTGGATACAAAGAGCAGCAGCTGACAAGAATTGTCTATTTACTGATAAATACCCCAATCTAATTCCATTTTAAATTAAGAGGTTATGTGTCTGACATATTTTAGAAGTGAGCCTGATGTCAAAGTGAGACATTACAACTGGAGGAACTATATTTTATTTATAACTTGAAAAATCAACATTACCCATTTGTCCTCAAACTAATACATAATCCACTCCTATATTATATTGTTTGCATGCTATTTGTCTTCCTATATTGCTTAGAAGGGAGAGTGCTGTGGGAAGCAAGAATCCCGGGAGACACTGACAAAGCTTTCCATTCCAGGAAAGTACCTACTATCATTAAGTAGGTACTAATATGGCAGCAAGCGGTGTGACAGGAAGGTACAGGGCCAGTCTCTGGAAGGTGCAATTCAGAGGTCACATCATATTTAAGCTATATGGGGATCAGGTATTGCAACAGAGTTATTTGATAGAAAACATATAACTAGTAAATGGTGGGCTTAAAATGTAAGAAAGTCATGAATGATGCCCTGAAAATGTCCCTAGCCAACAGCTGACAATGCCAGTCCAGATAGCCTATCAGAACAAGGCCAGAGATGCTGTGCACAGGAATGCCATGCAAATAACACTTGTCCTTTCCTTCTACTTTGGCCCAAGGCCCAAACTATTTCTGCTACACAAAGCTCAGTCTGATTTACCCTAAAGAACAAATTCTCAGGCAACCATATTCATGTAGGAACACATATCTCTGTATTCAACTTGTCATATAGCTGATTTCACGGCCCTACTATAAAAAGTAATACAAGAATTAAAAAAAAAACACAACCTTTACAGTGAATTTTCTCAAAACATAAAGGTAATTAAACAACACATATAAAATAAAACTTCATAGCTTCCCCCAAAATGGATTACCAACATGTGAGTCATCTACTCTATTTTTAAACTTGGCTATCTCTGAGCAGCTAAATTCTTAGGAACACCAGTTCTGAGATCCTAACAGAGATGACAATACCAACTTGATCACATTTGAGGGGCTCAGGAATTTCATGTTTCTTCCTAGCTAGCCCACCAGAAAAAAGTGACATCACATAGTCACGTAATCCTGAAAGGCAGGCTATGAAGTGAATGGAGAATGTGAGAATTTGGCTGCCATGAGTGATGGTGAAGATGGTAGAAAAAATCCACAGAACGTGCTGATGGTGTCAGAACTGCCCAGGGAGCATAAATGGTCTCAGAGACGTCTAGGTCATCATACTTATTAAAACTGATAAGTATCCTCCTGGGAAAACTGGTCATTTTCCTTATATGCTAGAAGGGTATTTGTGACCAGCCAGGCTGAAATTAAGTGTCAAATCCTTCAATCACTCAATTATTCTTTTTATCATTTCTCTGATATTTATACTTCATCAAATTGACTGTTACATATAGCAAATCATGTCTGTTTGAACAGATGTATCAAACCAGTAGTAACTGGCTCATCTGTTTCAGACTCTCACATTTTGAAAGTTTTATCACAAAGGATATCATATAAAGGTAAGAATATAAGGTTTAGAATGTGAAAATATGGAATCTTGAGCCCTAACCCTAAAACTAGCTCTAGGAGCAAACCAACTTCATTGTGTTTTAACTTTTACCAGTAGAAAACAGACAGATGATCAAATAATTGTTTTAAAGTTGATTGGGAAAAAATAACCTCCAAAGCATGTGCTGAATGTTTTACAGAAAACAAATTTATTTATATTATATATTATGTTTCTTTAGAATATTATATATTTTATAATGCATATTAAATAAATATACTTCCTAACAACAACTTTCTTTAAATGACTAATTCTGCTGAAGCTGATCTGCTAACTGATCCATGTGATCAGGTTACTTGAGAATATTTCTTAGTTATTGGTAAGCACAGGGACTTCTGACACTAGCAACTGCTTTAGTTATTAAATGATATTTTCTTGTCTTTGTCATAACATTCATAACTTTAGGCAGGTAATTTAACTTCTGGCCTTTTTTTTTTTTTTTTTGTATTTTTACAAGGTACTAGGGATCAAACTCATGACCACACGCTTGCAAGGCAGATGCTTATGCCACTGAGCTAAATCCCCAGCCCCTGGCCTTGTTTTTTTTTTTTAATCTGTAAGTTAAAAAGGTTGCATTAATGAAAAATACCTTGCAAGCTATATAACAAAACAGCAGTACATGTACTAAATTTATAAAAAGGTAAAAAATTTTCACTAAAATGTGGTTGGTGCAAAATTTTATGAGTCTATAAATGAATTAGTAGTCAACAGTAATTTAATGTGAAACTGATTAATGGTGAGTCTCAATAAAAAGAAACATAAATGTACAACTACTTCTTTGGAAGTGGTTAGGGTGGAAGTGCCTGTGTCCCTTGAGAATATGACTTAAAGGGCACAGGAAAGTGTACATGGGTATCTAAGTTGCCCACAAACTCCTCCAAACACGATACTCACAAACACGTATTTCTGAAAAATGTCAGGGGCAATCTGAGAACTCCAAGTGAAGGGGTTTTAGAAACTCTGTTTCCTTGAAGAGAAGAAAGGATCTATTTAAGTTAATTCTGAACCGGCTGGGAGCCATCTGAGATAGCAAGAACTCCCAGCACTAACCAAGAGAAGCTTTCTTCTGCAGCAAAGCTCTGCATAGAGACAAGATGCTGGGATAATTCAAATGGATAAGCTCAAGGATAAAGGAAATAGAAAATATTGGTAAGCTGAGGTGAGAAAAGACTTCCCAGATAGTATGAGGCTTTCTTTTTTTTTAAATCACTGCACAAATGCAATAAAAAAGGAGATTACAAATCAGCAAAGCTGGGCAGTAAGATGCATCTTTATGCATCTCTTTCTTCTAAAAACGTAGTAAAACTAACTTCATACAAAAATGAGCAACAGAAAATGTCACTGCAGTAGAAAAAGGTTTGCCATTTAGACACAGCACAGCACAGCCCACATGTTCTACATCACACAAAGTAAACGTCAAGATGAATGTTACCAGACCATCATTTCATCATAAGAAAACACTTAATCTATATGCACCTAATAAAGACCTTTCAAAATATATGATCTAAGCAAAACAAACACAGAATTAAAAATAGAAACAAGCACTGTTAACTATTTCTAACATTTTTGTAACTAAGGGAACTTTTTCTAACATATTTGTAACTAAGGGAACTGGATAAAAATATCTCTAAAGATATAGAATATTTGAATATAATTGTAACAAATGGATTTAACTAGAAGTAGTAGAACATTCTAGCCCCTGCTAGAATCCCCACCAGAGCACAGAAACATCCATCAGCATGGACCACATGCTTCATAAAAGAAATCTCAATCAGTTTCAAAAGACGGAAATTATCCAGAGTGTGTTCTCTGCCCACAGTGGCAATAAATTATGGAACATCAAAAATAACATCTAGGGAATCTTCCGATTTGAAAATTAAGTGAAACTATTATGAGTAACACATGCTTCAGAAAATCAGGAAGTATTTTAAACATAGTAAAGATAAAACAAAATATCAAAATATGTGAAGATGAAGGTAAAACAGTACTTAGGGGGAAAATTCTGTTTTCAGATGCCTATATTAGAAATTTAGTGATGTAACCATTTCATTCAAGAAAATTAAACTGTATAGAAAAGCAAAATAATAAAAAAGCACAAAACAAAGAAAAACTAAATCTTACTGAAAGTAAAGTCAGCAATTGATTTAATGAAAACTTCAGTAAAATTTGTAAATTACTAAGGCTGATAAAGAAAAATAGAAAAAATATAAATTATTAATACCAGAGATGAAAACACAGTCACTAAAGATTGCAAAGGCTTAAAATGACAGCATGGTATTACAAGCAATTTCATGCCAATAGATTAAAGACTGTAAATGAAATCAGTATTCTTAATAAAACTTTTAAAACTGACAAATGATGTAGAAAATATAAATAGCTCCATTCTAAGAAACTGAAAAAAATTTTAATAAATTATTTTCAACAGGTATTACATTTATTCTGATAAATTTGCAATCAAAATTATCTCCATTTTCCAAACACTTCCACTTCAAATTGCTTTGCAGTAAACTAAGGACCATGTGATGTGGAAATAAAGTCAAATTTATGTCAAAACTTTCAGAAATCTATGAAGGATGGTACATTGCTCTATTTTATGAGATCATTATCCTAAGAGTGATAATATAAACCACAAAAGATATAATAAAACAAAAGAAATTTATAGACCAATATCCCTCATGAACATAAGCAAAATAGTTTTCAATAAAACATTAATGAATCAATTACAGTAATTGATATTTCTACCCTGTAAATTAAAGAAAGTAGGTTTGCTCTTCCCAATTATTTGCAACACTGTACTGAAATTGAAATCTCTACCTGATTAACCGGGAAAAAAAGACTAACACTGGAAAGAAACAAAAATATTGTTCTACATATATACATGTAAATGATGGTATGCATAGAAAATCACATAAAAACTACAAACAAAAATTCCATTACAATTAATAAGTGAACTTATAAGAACTAAATAATTTAATATATACTTTGTAAGTTTCAAAATAGATGTTAAAAGATCAAGTGCATTTCTATAGAAATGCAACCACTGGAGAAACAATGTAATTTTACATTACCATCCAAAAATTCAACTAATGATAAATCCAACAAAAGTGTGTAAAAACTACAACATATCATTGGGAGAAACTAAAGAAAGTCTAAATTGCAAATGAAAACTATAATATATTCCTAGAAGATTTGTCACTGTTACAATCCATTTGCCCAAAATTGCTCTATAGATTCAAAGCAACCCAGATAAAA